ATGTATGTTCATATTTTCTTCAGCTATAAGACTATAGCATACTTCTCCTTGAATTCGTTACAAAAATATCTGCTTTTGTATTCCCGCCAATAATTACTTATACTTGTATAACCTTACATTTTTTCCCCCTTAGATAATCGCCCACAATCCAATCGATACGCCGCACGTCAAAGAGACCGGCTTGTTCGTTCAAACGGGCTACCAGTATCTTTTCCGTATTCGATACGCACCATTCCGCCTAAACGTCGCCAATGTCTCTTCAACAACGAGCTAGAATTGTATTACTTCCGGTACTACACGCGCCGCAATTGTGAAATGGAATGTGATTCCAAATATTTTCTACGCCGATGCAAATGCATTCCATATCACATGCCGCTCATCTATCAAAATGCAAGTATTTGTGATGTGAAGGATTTCAATTGTGAAAGAATCGCGGAAGCAGAGATCAATGACGAGCAGCATGTGGCCTGCAAGCGTAAGTGTCTGCCTGCGTGCTTCCGTTCGGAGTATTACCCGGAAGTATATGGAACACCACTGGCGAATACTTCGTTTGTCTTCAAAGATGGCTTATTTACGAATTTTACAAAGCAAGAGATTCATGAGAATTTCGCATTGGTGCAGGTTTATTTTGCAAATGATTTTTTTAGGTCTAAGGTTAGATCGCCATATACCAGCTTTACGGACTATTTGTGTGAGTTGTTGAGGGTACCTTATTGCAAAATTTGTGTGGGCATTAATTGGTTTGTATGTATTTATTTCGCAACAGCACAAACAGGTGGCATTTTGGGATTGATGGTAGGTTTTGGAGTCATGTCAGTTCCTGAGTTCTGTTATTTTTTTCTAATACGACCGGTATTTGATTTCCTGCTGAATCGTCTGCCCAGTTCCGTGCGGAAAATGACTGCAATGCGAATTCGAAGAGTTTTCGATGGAAACGCGGTTCTAATAGGCCGGCGGGTAATGCAAGCATTTTTATTCATANTTGGCTACAGCTCGCAGACCACTCAAGCACTTTAACGGTTATACTCGTAACAGTCAAAACATGTTTAGCGGCTTAAATAAAAAGGCACAAATGCAAGGTAGTGATGCTCTGAACATTCATCTGGAAGAGAAAGGCTTATTTCCATACACCGAATGAAATAAAAGTTTACTACAGAAAATGAGAAGTGTGCTTTGAAGCCAGAACAACAACTAATGGTTTTTTCTCAAATTTCGATAAAAAAAAACATAAAAACATAAAACAAAAAAAAAACATAGAAATAATATTGGAAAGGTAAGGTTGCATTCACAAAAACTATACCAAACAATCCTTGCAATAAAGCAAAAAACGCAAAGCTGAAAAAATCACTTCGATTGATTTTGTGAACTCTAAATAAAATACACAAAAATTACAAACAAAAAGTATCGGTGGCTACAGGGGCGCAGAGAAGAATATTAACCAATACCCCATCCCTAAATGCCTTTAAAAGACCGACAACCACTGCGGTCGGTGATGCGGAAGCTGTGATGGTTCTCGAAGAAATGGCTCCCCATAAATCTGAAGCGCTTAGAAATCGGTGTATGTATATACGTGGCTCCGAAAGTGATCGCAATGCTCTCCATGTATCCGCCTACTGTTACCGCATCTCAAATGAGGACTCCTACTCAATCTGAGAGGCACGGAATCTCTGGAGGCTGTTACTCAGGTCTCCTTTCACCTCTATGCTCAACGACTTACTAAAGACTGACAATGTCTTGTCTATGGGCAGGCGGGAAATATTTGGCCTTCCTAAACCTGTATCTACCGTCGTCGTTTCCGACCTAAGGGCCTTGAACGCAGCTTAGCTATCTATGGCAAAGGTGAGTTTTGACTGAACAAGTTGCATCATGTTTAGCACTTTGTTTTTTTAAATACAGATTATAGAGTTAAGGTCGAAAATGGGGATAATCTACTTATGTATATGTATGCCTAGTTTAATGTATGAACCGATTTCGAGAGATCGTGCTCACTTTCGGAGATTATTTGGGGAGCTTTAAAAATTGTAGCTTCTTTTTTTTTAGTTTTCAGTCAGATAATTGTTTCCCGTTCCCTAACGGCATATACATATATAAATGATTATTTATTTTTAGCAAACCGAAATCTAAAACAAATTTTAATTTAAAAATCTGAAAATTCTGTAAATTTTTAAAACAAATACTTTAAATTTATGTAAAATAGCTATGTATATGTATTTATTGTGTTCTCTGGCAACGCGACCACACAAACGCATCAAAGCTCACTAAGCTAAAAGCTTTTGTCATGTAAGCTTTTTCTACTACCTTTTACAACATGTAGCCGTAGCAACCCCCAACTGTTCGAACAGCAACAAAAACTTGTTGGATTCTGCTAAAATCCAATGAAAAATCCAATTGACTTCAGTTCTCTAGCAACTTTCGCACGACAAGCTTCGGTTATTTTTACCAGTGAGGTGTTTGTCTACGTCATTAGCTACTCAAAAAATATAAAAATAAAGTAGCAAATAAAATAATTGTTTGCCGCTTTGTTGTTTAATTGAAAGTAATTTCTTGTGGGCAATAATACGACGGCTCCTGCCGCCACCAAGCCCCTCAATCTCAAGTAAATACATAAATAATTTGTGTATGCACTCTGTGTGCGTGTGCGTGTGTGTGCCTTTGTGAAAAACTAGATATACGAAAG